AAAAAAAAGCAGGTTTAATTCCGTTACCCAGCAAGCTTCTTTTCCTGACACTACATATATTTCATAATATTCAATTATTTTTTGAGACATAACTAAAGGGAAGGTGAGGATGTCCCATTTATGAAGCTTACTAAATTTGCAACAATATGCAGAAGTTTATTGACGGCTATTAATAAGATAGTTGAGGGATTTTTATTATGTTCTAAAATAGCTAAAGAATGACAAAGAAAGTTCAAAGTAACAACATGACCAAAGATTACTTGCATTTGTCTAGACTCCCAGCTCTGAAACTTCTCCCTTCAAATGGCAATACAAAAGGATTTCTTCTTTCCTACATTGCAAATGCAACTTCAAGGCATGAGGACTTAAATAAAGGATAGTCCCTACATCAGTTTAGATAAGAGTCAATAAGGGCTAAGAAAACCACATTTTTATAATGTATTTAAAATTAGCTTATATTAGTATTCCATGTATGAAAGGCAAATTTATCACAAACAAAACTCAACTTTTTTTTTTTTTTTAAACATTTACCTATGCATGACTAGAATCTAAAGAACTTGAACAATAAAATGTTTGATAGGGATAATCAGGAATGCTGCAAGGCAAATGGAAAAATTCTTTTATTGCTCATGAGATGCAAAAACATTAGCAAAGTAATGCAACAGTCTTACTTCTCATGTAGAAAATGTTTTTACTACTACTAACAAATATCTGAAGCTTCCATATTACAGTCTGTTAAGTTTGACCTCTCTCCTTAGTAGAGAAATCATAAGATTATTTCCCCAAAATTTTCACAATATTTTTAATAATGATAAAAAATCTCAGCCACTGAAGTAAGCATATCATAAAAAGTGAAAACACATTCAGTATGTGACCTTAAAAATACATGACCTTTGAAGGAGAGGAAATTTAGAATGTATCAAAGAAGTAGAAGCCCAAAAGATAAGGGTACAAATAAATTAACAGTTTATAACCGGTCATTGTGATCCAGACAAGCCTATACTGTAACAGTGAAGCCTTAGCAACTGGAAGATGCTAAGCTTTTCTCACCTTTATGTAGAGCATCTATATAGATATTTGCAGATTCTGGAATAAACCCACATTCTCCATATATACTTACTTGAAATAAGAATAGCTTCCTAAAATTTCAAAGACTCTTACCGAGAAAAATCCTTATATAACAACTTGTCCAAAATTCCCAGGATCAGCTCTGTGCCCATCATTGCAAGAAAAATGTACAGAAGCACACATTCTTTGCTAGACTAGCAATCTTGATTCACCATTTATTCCTTGATACACAAGTAAAACTAAAAAAAAAACCCAAGGAAATTTTGAAAAGCTCTTTAAAAACAACTGTTCTTTATATTAGGCAGTTCAAAGTAAAAGTCATTCTGTATTTCCTTTCCTAACTTTCCTCCACTACTGAAGTATTCTTTTGGGGCAAGGGTCTTCTGTATGTGAGGTGGGATCACTTATAAATTAAGTTTCTCAAACAGTCAAATGCAGCTAGCAATTAAAAGATAGCTAGATGCTCCTATGGCAATATAAATGCTTACAAATAATAGTAGTCATATCTTACACTCGAACCTTACAGATTCTGAAGTGCTGCCATTGTTTAGTAAACATTTTTTTTCCCATTTTTAATAATTACTATTCTTTAAGTACGAAACTCTACTTAAAACTTCCTGACCCTTCAAGAACCCATTGGAGGCCGTAATCCATAGCAGGAAAATAATGTTCAATAGCAAACACTTGTAAAACTCTCTTTTACAGCCTCAGGTCCCCTTTGTCAGGTAAATCCCAACAAGTCTTACCAGGCAATCAAAGTTTCTCACTAGCGACTTGTTTAATTACCATCCCTGGAGAAGAGACTTGAAAAACTGATTTATGTGTCACGGTAGCCAATTTGTTATCCAAGAGAGCTCCTATATCAGTGAAGGATCATCACAGTTTAATAACCATCCATTATCAACACAACATGATTGCAAACTGGAATTTCAATTAGAAAAAGAAATAAAAACCAAATAAAATTAGGGATAAGTAAGCAGGCAGATCAACACCGATATAAAAATGCTGGATATAAAGAGATTCTTTGTCAGCATCAATTGGAACAATTTGTAAAATGGCCATGAGCAAGCTTCCCCTTAAATCAGCTTTAAAAGCTCAAGGTATTACAACTATCTGCTCATAAAATCCAGGTATTTATACAGCCCAAATATCCAAAATCTGCAAGTGACTGCTTGCACTTTTGTTTCAGACACTTGCATAGCACTTTCGCAAATTGGAGTTGACTGCTATTGAAAAGCTTTCTGAAGATCCTCTCTCCCCACTTTACAAAACTACAGTTCCTGAAAAATGTATTCACCTAAGTCTGGAAGTCCTAGAAATTGATATTGTATTACTCTATAAAAGATAAGGAGCTCCAGGGAGCAGTAACATGCACCCAGACTAACATTTTCACTAATCTCCACGTTCAGTTTGGAGAAAGCAGTCAGGCAGCTCCCAGATTGTCTCAACATCAAGACTTCTTTCTCTCTCAGAAGTAAAGCAAGCAAGCAATTTGCATTTAGAATGCTAACAGGCACCAAAACAGCAAGAGAAACACCAAGAAGCACACAAAAAAGTTAACGTTCTGTCTTATCATTTATGTTTTTACTGAAGAGAACTTAGTCATCAATGCAAAACATTGAGTGTAATAGGCAAGATTTTTTAATGCTGTCATATCCCTCTGGACTGACAATAGCGTAGGAAGATTAAGGATTATTTGGTAACTGATTAAAATGACAACATGAAAATACATCACTTTATTTTTAAAAAAACAAAGCAGAAGTATTTCATTAGAAACTAGCTCTCACACCCCTCCTATCAGCTGCCCTCTCTCCCAAACACAACAGAGTGAGCTCTCAACCTGTGAGAATAAGCAGAAAATAGAAAAGAAAAAAGAGAAAAAACCTCTTTCATAAAATAAAAGTTATCTTAATAAAATTAAATCATTATGAGGATATTAATCCTAATCAAATAGGTTAAAGATTTGGTGGTACAGGGGAAAGGGTTAAAAAAAGACAAAACAACACAACACAAAAATATACAATGGCATATAGCTACAGAGAGAAGGAACTTCACTATGACCTTAGAATCGTCATTGACTAATACCACAGAAAATACAACCAAGGGAATAAAGTCTTACTGTAACAGTAGCTTTAAATTAAAATATAACTTAAATTCATCTAAGATATCTAGGTCCAAAATACTTGTTTAACTGCTCAGGGACAACACATAGATCAAGCCCCACATATTAAATTTGTACACGCAAACATCAAAGTTTACACAGATTTGCATCAATCTTAGCTAACAATTTTTTCATCTCCCCTTATAAAAATATATTTACTGCTTCACTGTATTTACCTCTTGCGTGACACCAGCCCAAAAATATAGAGAATGTGTTCAAATCCCAAGAAAAGCTTGAAAATAGATTTGATTTTACAGAAGTGTTTACAAAAGTGGTTTAGTCTGTCCTGGTTTCAGCTGGGATAGAGTTAATTTTCTTTCTGGTAGCTGGTATAGTGTTATGTTTTGGATTTAGTATGAGAATAATGTTGATAACACACTGATATTTTCAGTTGTTGCTAAGTAGTATTTAGACTAAGGCAAGGATTTTTCAGCTTCTCATGCCCAGTCAGCAATAAGACTGGAGGGGCACCAGGAGTTGGGAGGGGACACAGCCAGGACAGCTGACCCAAACTGGCCAAAGGGATATTCCATACCATGTGACATCATGCCCAGTATATAAACTGGCGGGAGTTGGCCTCCAGGGAGGCACATCGCTGCTCAGGGACTAACTGGGCATCAGTCGGTGAGTGGTGAGCACTGCATTGCGTATCACTTGTTTTGTATATTCCAATTCTTTTATTATTATTATTGTCATATTATTATCATTATTATTTTCTTCCTTTCTGTCCTGTTAAACTGTCTATCTCAACCCACGAGTTTTACTTTTTTTTCCGATTCTCTCTCCCATCCCACTGGGTGGGGAGGGAGGGAGCAAGCGGCTGCGCAGTGCTTAGTTGCTGGCTGGGGTTAAACCATGACAGAGTCTAAAAAAAATTTTTAATACAGATTAAAGTCCTCCTAGCTGTAAATATGGAAAGCTTTGGGGAGGTATCTTCTACATTTTTTCTGAAATCCAATAAATACTAGTTCTGAAGTTATCGAGCTGTCCAAGAAAGTACTCCTCCTCATTCCATCCCCACAGTAGGTTCTCTTTCAGAAACTTCAATTTTGATATATCAAAGTCAGGACAAATCTCAGCATTGTAGCAAAAGTACCATATTCACAGACATATTCTAAAGCCGAGGCCACACACAAACACAGGCCAAAAGTACTGCAGAAGCTTCCACAAAGGTAGTTTCTTTCCTCAGCAAAGCAAATTTGCAAAGACACACTATTCCTTCCATAAGTAAGAGCCACAGAGCTGGTCTAAAGATTCTAATTACTAGAAGGGAAGGAAAGAGGTTAACACACTGAAAAGCCTCCTGAACACTTCCAAAAGGAGGCAAACTGGCAAAAAAAAGTTGAGTTGTATTAATGGCTTGCAAACTCTGTATTCCTTAAAAAAAAAAAAAAAAGAAAAAAAACAGAAAGCCAAACTCTTTTTCATTTATACAAGCATAAATTCAAAATAATGTTACCAATTTACCAAGAAACAGTCTGAATTTCTACCAGAGTAAGACAGTTGGTTTTGAGCAGCAGGTGTTATTGTTTGATTTATCAGTAACTATATTAAATACAATAAAATTATTATTGCTTAAAAATGAGGCATTTTTAATGTTTTCTTAAGATGACATGTATTCATAATTAACCTTTCTAAGCTTTAGCAATTTATTTCTAAAACACTCATTCCTACATGAAGTTTTGTTAACTAAACTCAGATATGCAGACTACATTACTAAGGAGTTTTCATTTCAAGCCAATAAATAAGTAATGTACTCTGTTTATTTTACCCCAAGATTCCAACTATTGAGACGTGCTTCAAGGTCACTGTCATCCAAAGAAATGGTTTTTTTATGACGATGGTCCTGGAACATAAAAAAAGTCAAACAAAATATCAGAAGAGCTAGCAGATACATAGTCTAAAAAAAAAAAAAAACAAAACAAAAGTTAAAAAAAAAAAAAAAACAACACCAAAAACTTCTCATTGACTTTGACTTGGCCATACCTACACTGCACTTCCTAACAGTGTTGTGATACCTCTGACAGCTTTAATCTAAATAGTTCAGTTACCAGTAGGATACTGTGCTAAGAAAGGAATTCAGAGGATAAATTAGCCTGCCTCCTCACTTTAATGTTGTTCTTTATTTTACGTATTTCCAGAGCAACAGCCTCTTTTACAAAGGGTGAGTTTACTAAACAAAAATCAAAGTACTCCGTTCTTCAGGCAACATACTTATTCAAGAAATGATCCATTGCCACAGTACCTTTTTGGGGCTAATCCAGAATTCAGAGATCACCTGATCAGCCTCAAAAAAAAAAAAAAAAAAAAGAAAAGAAATTAAAGGAAACCACAGCAAGACAGGGGTAGTTACAGTGGGCAAAACTGCAAAAGCAGAGGACAGAGTTGCTGCTGCCCAGCTCAAGGCTATGGGTCCTCTGCAGAAACAATTTCCAACATTCAGTAAGACTGTAGTAGTTATTGTTGCTCAAGGCTATGTTTTTCAGAAGTTTTTCCTGTAGAATAACAGTAACTACTGATTGTATTTAATGTAACAAACAGGGGAGCTGGTACAGAAAATTTTCCTTAACAGAGACATAACACTATTTAGAAAAATAGAACATTGAAGCATGAATTACTTTGTCTCATGAAGTTTTGTTAGCAAGAGCTTTGTGTACTGGCATGCAAGTACCTCTATTTTAAATCTGTTCATTCATTATGAACATACAGTGAATGGAGCTTTGACTTCAGCTAATCAACGCTTGGTTGAGGCAGATCTTAACGTTTCTTAAAAGACTCCCTGTTCCTCTACCTGAGTCTGAATTATGCCAGAACATCTGTGCGTCACTGACAACAGAACAAGATACTATTTGTTCCAGCCAGCCAAACGTTCATCAAACCGTTTGGCAAAGCAAGAGAGGATTATTTCACTTAAAAGCCCTTTTAAAGCTGTAATCACAGTAGAATCCAGTATACGGAGCTGAAGAACTATGAAGCACAGTGATTTGTCTAACATTGCCCTGGAAGACTGTGGCAGAGCCAGGAACAAAAAAAAATAAACAAAACAAAACAACAAAAACAAACAAACAAAACCTTTAAAGCCCCAAATCCAGGTTTCAACTGAAGGGAATTCTTTTCTTTACAATAACTGTTCCATAAGAAATATTTCTTGAAGTAAAACAAACAGGAAACCAATAAGGAGAAATTTAGTAAATCCAGCATCTGTTTTTATTTTTTATTTTTAATTATGGCATTTCTTTTTAAAATTACATTTGCATATATACAATCAACACACACATAAGTACATTCATACCAACCAGAGCCTAGAGCAGAGACATTCAATTTTTGCCCATAGACCTTTCGTAGCCTGCCATGATAAAGCATGCCCTTGCTAGTCCTCTATTCCAAATGCATAGCAGAACACAAGTTTCCTCAGAAAGATAGACCTCAGAAGCAAGCTTCCAGTTTATCCCACTTGCACTTCATGTCCTCGTAAGCTCTTGATTGTGCCCAGTAAGAAGGGTAAGAACAGTCTATATGAATTGCTCAGGTGTCAACAGCCCACTTCCAGCTGCAGTCTCTCTAAACTGTTCCTCTGATACAATCAAAAATAACTGTGGGCAAACCTACAACGTACATACAGCAAATTCAGTGTTTCATGGAGGAACAAGAGCTATTATAGATGCACTGGCTATGGTGAAGGAACCACAAGAGACAGACCTCTCCAGTAATAAAGACTGGGCACTACAAGGCTACAGAACACATTCACAAAGGAAAACAACACACTTGTTGATAACACATATTTGTCAGGAGTAATTGTCAGTTTAAATGCTTGCAATTATACATACAATATCATTAAATATTTTGGACTAAAAGGGTTTTACATGAAGTCTGTTTAGTGTCCTTCCATCAGCCATAATGCTAGTTGTGGAAAGTTTGATAAAACAAACTATCCAAAATTCACTCTTTCAGAGGTCAACCATCATTAAACAGAGCCAAATACATCTATGCAGCTTTCTTTAATCTACTATTGCAAAATACAAGATGATGTCAATACAGTCAGTTTGCCAAGCCTAGGGAAAACAGTGCAGCAGACATTAAACACACTACACCAAACAGAGGTCAACCATTTGGATGAATTGAGAGCATCCTACAAGAAATTCTTTTCCCCTGCACTTGCAGAGGGCAGATTTTGATGAGCTTTAGTCCTTCCTATTACTGCTTCCCAAATGTCTGCACTTGTACACAGTGAGCATGACTCATGCAATTAGAAACAACAGCTTTATGGGGATATACAAAAACAATTCATTGAAACTAGAGCAAATTTTATGACAAAAAGGAGAAGCATCTTACAGACAGTGGTGTGGCTAGGTTATCTTCATCTGTCCGGTGAGGAGGACTCATAGAATGCGATCTTAATACTGGCTTCTCATTGTACTTGAATCTTTCCCTGTTATTAACAAAAAGATTAAGCAGAAAGAAAAGAATTCATTTTCAACAACTTGTGGCACACACAGGATGTTAATCTTAAAATAAAAATCTTTTAAAATATACAAGAGAAAATAACTGTCAAGTTGTAAAGATCAAAAACAGTAGAATAAGAAAAAGAAAAAAATTTTTATTAAAGGCATGTTAAAGGCAAACAAAAGCCTTCAGCATTCCATTAAAAAACAACACCCAAAAAACCCCACACCAACAAAAACACCAGAAATATCATGTATATCAGTTTATTAAAAGGTGTTCTTTGCATTCCTGTTACCACATGACCCAACATCTCCCAACAGATTTTTAGAATAAATCCAAGGCTGATCTAAGAGAACGTTTTTGAAACAAAACTGCTAGGCATATGAGACATTATAGGATAAAGTCCAGCAACTCAAAGAAAAAGGAATTAAAGTGATGGTTGGCCACAGCATAGGGGAGAAGACTTTTAAGACCAAAAAAATAGGAGATTAAATAAAGGTATATCTTCATATAACATACAAACCTGAAGACAAGGGCAAGAACTGCACATACAACTCAACAGAAAAGCAATGACTTGAAAGGCCAAGGTGGAGAATAACATGTCAAAGAAACAAGTCATAAAGATTGTATTAGTTGCATTTCATTTCAGCTCTATTTTAGGGACTAAAGTGGTGTATATGGCGGGATGGTAAAGAAAGGGCCACAAGACAGGATACAAGTACAGCATGAACAAGTACTCTGTCCAGTAGAAAAAGAAGAGTGGACAGGGATTTTCTGGAAAATTTTTGTCATAAACAAAGAACAAAAGGAAATTAAGAATAGCATATAGGTGAAGATAACCTTCATTGATGCACCTGGTCAACTGACCTTTCTCAACTATAAAACAGTGAAAGAAAAGAACAGCCTGGAACAAAATAAAATAAAAATTGTAAGATTTTATTAGATAGGTTGATATAGCAAAAGATCCAAAACAGTAGCAAAACACCCTTCAGCATATACTCCAATGTCAAATCGACATGTATTAAAGCAATCAAAAACTCCTGTTAGCCCATTTACCTTCCTATGACTAGCTATAATGTATTAAAACCAACTCAGACCATTAAAATACCTTTCATTCCTTCCATCCAGCAGCAAATTAGACAGTAAGTTATGCCAAAAAGACACTGAGACAAATTAAGTGTTTATGAACAGAAAGACAACTGTTGCATGTACAATGTAAACTAGTCACTTCTAGGAAGACAAACACAGACAAACTTTTCACAAAGCACACCGCCCCAGCTTTCATCAAAACAGCAGGGAACAGTGAAATATAACAACTGGGAGCATACCTTTCCTTCCAGCACCAATAAATACCAACAACATATATGGATGCAAAATAACAATTACAAAGCAGTAAATAGTTTAGATAAGCAAAGTCTTAGAGGTAAAAAAAAAGATCAAAAGAAATATAATAATACAATGACTGTCTCTAGCATTCCAAATCATGCATTTCTTACCAAGATTTCTTTTGACACAAAGTTATCTTTCATTAAAAGGAGACAAATCTTTGCCTGTCAGTAAATCTGCACTTTTATCAGACTTCTTTTCTGAACAATACTCAGGTTACCAAACAATTCAATAAAGTTCCAATTGTTTAAAATGAAAGAAAACAGAATTCATGCCCCTATGGTTAAGAGATTAAGGAATATCAATAAATATTCAAACCAACTCAAGTTACCTATAGTATTCTTAAATCAACAAAATAGGGAAAAAAAGCCTGGATATATGCTTAGTTCTATATTTGCTATTTTGAAGAGGAACTGAAAAGGAAGTCCCTTTACTTGATTCTGTAAACAGCATTTGAAAAGACTGTTAAGGATGGACCTCAGTTTTGCTCATATCAAGCATATACTACCCATTCACTCCCTCTTCCAGCCTTCTGCTGATCTGATTCAGGCTTCAGAAATCACAAGATTACTTCTTTTTCCTCCCATGACAGGTGAGTGGAGAATGGTCAGAGTCTTGACACCAGCCCTGTGACCTCCTGCTTCAGCCAAAACAGTGAATTAGCATGGGAGAAGGAAGCAATTTGCTGGTAATAAAGGAGATTAGTAAATAATTTCCTACTACGAACAAAGTAAGGGAAACTCACAGGTTCCTTCTGGTACAGCACAGCTACACACTAACCTTTAACAATGTTTTTCAGGCATAATCTATAAACATACGGTAGAATTTTCCTATGAGGTCGGAAAGACCAGGTTTCTGTTCAAACCAAACTACACATTCCTAAAACCAATTCTCTCATGTTTCAAAATAAAGATACACCTTTCTAGCACCAGCTGGCTTGGCCTTATTCATTTACACTCTAGTTTGCAAGTAAGGTTTGTCTATCTACTTCTTATTTAGCCAGATAAAAAACTTCTTACAGAAAAGCCAAAATCTTCATACATAGAAGTATGTATTGCAAGATAAAAACAACTATGTAAAAAACTTCTCCATTTGTTTGCTTCTTTTAAAGGAGGGAATCTTGAGATAAATAAACATCAGAAAATTACTCAAACATTTCTCACTGACATTATCTATTTTGCCCTGAGAAAATGTTGTAGTCTGTCTGTAAGAACTGAGTCGCAGTTGGAATGCAAAATTTTTATCCAACTACATATATTGCATGCCTATGGAGACAGTTTTCCTAATACACATGCTGAGTAGCAAGACAAGTCTAATGTAACAAGATCGCCACCTGCTGGCTCTCTCTACAAACTGCAGATTCCAGATATATTTACATCTTTACCTGCACTGATAGCTCATTCAGAACTGTAAAAACAAAGACAGACAGGATCTATACGTTGAGCATAGCTAACATCTTAATATAGACACATGTAAATAAGTATTAAATAAGCTATTTCTACGAAACATAACAGCTGAAACATTTACCTTCAATATTTCTTCCTGCATAATTCACACATTTAACATTAGTTTCTCATCGTTGTGAAGATTAATTTATGTAATCTACAGAGCTACCAAAATTTCTCACTGCCAACACCAGTTCAGATTTCCTTAGACACAGCTCCATTCTTGGTACGAGTACCCATTAGCAGAGCCACGCCCATACAGTTCAGTTTCACTTCAAGATTTCTTTAAACCAGTAACTTATTCCATCATGTTTACTTGCTTCTGTTGGCATGAAATAGCATGCAATATGGGTCCCCAGAGAACTCACCAGAGCCTTGGGAACCATCTGTTGATTACCAGTGTAGGTATTGCTGCAGTCCCACAGGACAAAAAGAAAAAGTAAATGAAATAAAGCTTCACTACCCCACCCATGACTTTGGGAACTTTTCCATACCAAGCTGAATCTTAGGTTCAGATACTGAATGGGAAAAGGGGTCAGATTTCCGATACTCTACTATAATCCAGGTAGCAAAGAGAGAAAAAATATGGCAAAGAATACAAGGGACAGAGTAGGCAGAATGGTATCTCAGCCTTCCTCAAAGAGGGACAAGCACCAGTTGGATGCAGAGGGAGGAGTATGCTGCCTCATCCCACTCAAGTAACACCCCAGCTGAGAGAACAAGTAAGGAATTCAGAGGAATTGGGTATATTTTTATGCCGCAAATACGGCCTTGCAGAGATACCAATATGCTAGATTGGGCCTAATAGGGGAAAGTTGTGCTGATATTGCTTTACTGTTTCTAATACCCAGAGTGATACTTTATTATGATAGTCCTACTCCCAGCAACCAAGACCAATCTGATCAGATCTATGCCGGCTATCTTGACATGGCTCAATGCTATCTAACGCAGATTTAGCCGAGGTCTCAAAAAGCATTTCCAAAGCATAATACATTCCTTATTTTCAAAAGGCCAAACCTAATTTTTTTTAATTGAGGGTATTTGGACAGCTCTTCTCAACAGTTCTTTGTATCACCAAGTCTAAGGCAGTAATATGGTAACACAGCTAGCAATTTCTCCACTCTCCACCTTTGTTTCTTACACCACAAGTCTGCTATCAAAACCACAGGCTCATATCAGACAATGCATTTGAGTGTAAGTAACCAGAAGACCCCTTAGTATTAACACTGTAGGACTCAGATAAAGGAGATGCCTCAGTCCTAAGAGCAACTTTTTAAATGACTGTTAGAATTACACATAGTTAATGGATACATAAGAGGAAAAGTTTCACAATACTCAGTATCAACATGATGTAACTTGCAAAAGTGCCTATCTGTCATCTATCCAAATCACAGCTGAAAAATTAGAAAACACAAGATTGCACTATGATATATAGCATAAACATCAGTGTGCCTAAAAAAATAAAAAAAACAGCTGATAACCACTTATGAAAAAAATAAGTGAACACATAAAAAAAGCATTAAACTTCTGAAACAAAACCTGTGAGAATATTTATAATGCAATGAAACCAAACCATATGTTTCATATAGAAGTAGAGCAAACGCTTACTTCCTCTTGTACAGAGCCTACTAAGTTTTGAATAATATTCACACTCTACCTCTAAGAGTGATTTTTTTTCACCAAGGATTTCAGAGTTTAAACATTAACTAAGCTTCAAAATGAGCAAACAAGTGGCAATTCCACGATTGAAATGCAGCCACATAAAAAAAAGGAACAGAGATCTTGATAATCAGTGCAAAATCGCACTGCATAAGAAAAACTAGGAAGAAAGTAAATACTTAAGAACAGAATGTAGATTGAACTAAAATTTACCTAATATTCCCACAAAATAGGACAGGAAAAAAGCCTATGATTCTCAACAGCATCTAACTGACAAGCTTGGCACACCTTCAATACTGCAGGGACATTTTTCTAAGCCAACAGGAAAAGAAGCCTTAATAACCTGATACATTTCATCCCTTTACCTGCTCTGTAAACAGCTCTATACCCAACTGATTAGAACTAATGACGCAGCTTAAGCTTACTGGCTCCTGCAAACGTACAGAAAGAGACTGTCCAATGGGTTGTCATAACAAGGTGCAGCTATAGATACTCAGGATTCTGCTGTACAGCTGCAAATGAGCAATACTTAAATGTTTGCGTTATCCTAATGACAAACATCCAGGATCTAGGCATAGGGGGTGCTAGTCACCAACAAAGCACATGTATTTGTAGTAGACAGCATGATATAAATCAAAACATTTTAAATCAGAGAGATTGTTCAGACAAGGACGGAGTCATTGCAAACAATCCTCCCCGCACAGGAGAACAAAACAACATGGCAGAGTATCCCACAGGCAGCAGCTCTGATTTTTAGCCTCATAAGTTTTAACAAGTATAGCTGGTCCAGTCTGACCTTCTGTAATCCAAGATTCATGAGGCTTACAGGAAATATAAAGAAATGTTGCTATTTTGTAAAGAAGCCACGATGAAACACAGGCCAAGCAGATAAGTGTGTAATAAGAACTAACATGCTCGCAAAAAGATGGATCAAATCCCTCTTTCTTTGTACGCATCTAACTTTTCTTCTCTTGTCACAGAACAGCAACACTTGCTTATCTGCAGGGAGCCACTATTCTGTTTCCTCTAAAAAAAAAAAATCTGTGAGCAACAGTGATAGAACATCCTTTAAATCTACCAGCTGTATGCTTGTTTATATTTCTATTCTCTATAGAAAAAAAGCCATTAAAAACTGTTTGATATAAAAGCTCCTTTCAGCATTATGACCTTAGACTACTACTCTTCTTTTTATATGTTTACTCTCCACACGTTTTTTGTCATTTGCTTACTGTATGTTCCTTTTATTTTGAACTGTATAGAAACTGTATAGATTAGTCCACCTCAGCTTCATTAGTTAATACCACTTTCCAGTTTCCATACATCAGCATGCAGAAAACAGGACTGCACAGGAACTCCATGGGGACAGCAACTGTTCTGATCTAAGAAAAATCTGGCCTGAGAGTCTTCTGCATCTATATAGTCTTTTACCACATCACTTCTTCCTTACTGCCTGTCCACATTTGTCTGTGCTTCCCTCTCCCAGTTAAGTAATTTTGTATGAATTCTGCCTCTTGCCTTGTGACCACTGTGCTTTGCCACCATAATATCTGAGGTCTGAAAAACACAACCAGAATACCAGCTTATTTGACAGATATTTACAATGTCAAAACAATCGCTATTATCTACTCTTGAAGTCTACAGAGCATGTTACCAACTCTACAGAAAGTATTAACATGAAGAGAGATAATGGTGCAAAAAAGTGGACCGTGACCATTTCAACATTAGCAAACAGGCTCTTTGTGCAAGTCACGAGCACCCCATGGTAACCACCAGTCCAAATCACCTCCAAAACTCTCTCTTCAGTTGCTGCTGAATTTCTGAAACTATCAGTTTGGCCTATTGATTTTCCATGCTAAGTGTCTGTAACTGAAAGGGCAAGGAGAACGAGAGGAAGGGAAAGAGGATAGAGCTATAGGACACAGAAGAAGACTTACAGAAGCCAGAGAAGACAACATGATGGAGGAATGTAATAACAGAGAAGTATAAAAGTTATCATTAGGTTAGAAGCCATTACCAGAGTTTCTGTTTATTAAGTACAAATGCTGTATTCAAGATGAGACCACAAGGGAGTGCAATAAATTCATACATACAAATTGAAACATACACAGCTTATGAAATCAAACAACTATTAAATATGAATCAAATACTGAATAAAGCAAATACAGAAATCTTACCCATATGTAAGTGGTGTTGCTAAAGAGGATTCCTCTCTAGAAGATATCTTCCACGATTCCTCCTGCTTAGATTCACTGTTTCCTAGTTCTCCCATTACCCAGTCAGGTAAGCAGTCTGGGCTACTACTCCGAACTCTTGTTGAATTTGGTTCATCAAAATAAATTGACTATAATTGAAATAAATGCAAAATAAACACTAGAATATATTTACACAAATATCTCCTTTACACTATTAATGTTGTTTCTTGCATGAATATCTGCAGTATAAGAATTCTTTTTCCAGTGAAGTCAGTGAGGTGTGCAAACATTACCTTTCCAACCCATGGAAATTAGTACAACAGGCAATGGCGTAAACATTTTCCAGTACTTTGCTTCTTTCAGTATGGGTAATTTTAGCATCAATTAGGACTGTTATCTCACTAAAGCTGATGCCAATGATTGACACAGTATATTCAGGTCTTCAGAAAACAAACTGCAAGCTTAATGATATCTATATGAAATACTGTTACCTTTTCTTTCATAGAAAGGTAGACTACTAAAGTCACCTCATTTAAGCACATTTTTCCTTTCACAAGAACTATATGCTGATTAAGACAAAACATAGCCTCAAGAGTCTTTTATTACATCTTTTCAAAGAATTAGACAAAAATTATCTTTCTGTTCCTTCAGAACAACTATTTTATAAGCCTTCTTAGAACCCAAATTTTGAAGAAGAAACAGGTCTTATAAAAGGTTTTGCACATTGAAAGATTTTTCCAACACCAGTTACAAGATATGCAACATAAATGCCTGTATTTACCACATGCAATTCCACTCAGTTCATTCAGAATTGTTTTTCTCATTTATGCCAAACCAAAGACTTAAAAGTATTTTCAGAATATATTTAAGCAAGTTTGTCTTATAAAGAAGTTACACCCACCATGTATGAAGGTAAAGTTTTCAGTATGCCCGGTTCTGGTTTATGGGTAAAAGGACCTTCCAGCACACCTCGCTTTAGCATGTGGAGCAAAAGTTTTGCATATAGGTTCCGATTCTTCCTTCCCGCTATTCCTGTGCCTGCTCCTGAGGGCTCACATAGCTTTTTAATCCACAGTGCACATCTTTGTCGTTCTAAAAGTATAGATATACATAATCACTATACATTTTCAGAGCAAATCAAACACACAGAAAAAACAGAAGCTGTTACTGGTCACCAATTTTGTAGATGCTTCCCTTCTATCCAAAAGTTTAAAGCAAAACAAACCAAAAAACCCCAAACGACTGAACCAAAAGAAAAAAATGGTTAAATACCTAGATTAAAAATAAGTCTCTAACAATAGTTCAAATTTACATCACCCAGAAATATTGTCTATAAATTCATGTTTACCGGAAATTTACATGACTTCTGGAAATAGCATGTTTGGAATCAATCTCTAATAAGTACAGAACACATAAGTCACCAGGAATTCTGAACTCACTGCAAGAGCTGCCATTAACCACAACATACAGCTTGCCTGAGCGTTAATATTTTAAACACACAGTAAATCTTCATTCATTTTAAAAATCTCTATTTACACAAGCTTTGCTACCAGATGATGAAATTATTCATCTGATTAAAAGTTTACAAAGCAAGGTCTTAATTTGTAGGGTTCGTGCCTCTAACAATAACCAGTTCGTTCTAATAATTAGATTTATAAAACACCATTTATTACACATTCCTAAATCAAGTTTTTAAAACCTAATCTCTAAAAAATATTTGCAATCTCAAAACCAACACCTTTTAGAAGCTTTTAGTTTCTACTGAATTTATTTTTAAAAAATAGAGACATTAATGTATTTATGCAAAAGCACATTTATATCACCAAGATAAGACAGATAAGCTCAAACAATAGCAATAGGTACCTAAAAAATCCAGCTTTAGAAGTTGTACACACACCCCCACACACACTCAAAACAGTGCCTTGTGACATCAGACATTGTCTGGGTAAAGAAAGTGATACAAGTACACATAATTATCAGTAACCTAGAATTATGCTAATAGCATTTCTCTATATGCACATTTTACCATATTTACCTGACCGATGCTGTAGTTTTAGAACATGAGGCTTCATATCCACAACACAGTGATCAAATTCTGCATCTAGTTTTCCCCATATTTCCTCTTCACCATTCATTTTGGGAGAATACAAAGTAACCTGCAAAATTATTCACACTGAAGTAGAAAAGATCAAGTACCACTACACTTTAGCCTCTATTCATCTCAGGCCATGCAAAGACGTGCTTTGGAACAATATGGAAGATAAATTAAGTATTTTATTATGTTCAAATAAACGTAAAAATAAGAGCGATTCTTTGCAAACAGCAGATATTCCATGTAATCTACAAGAATGTGTTTGTTTAGATTTGAAAGCCAATAGTCAACCACGCAAAAATGTATTCAATTACACACAGTTTGTATAACACACCTAAAGGCATTTGTGTCATAGCCACATTCATATTTTTTTCTTCCTTAGAATTAGTATTATTTTTTTTAGAAGCGGGAGAAAAGGAGGGAAAACAGCAAACAGACCTACGAGCTAAAAGTAACAGAACCAACAAACGTTGTCAGAATTGTTTTTTAACGAGGGACTACTGAAAAGAGACCCAAACGAGCTCTTTATCCAAGGTCATCTGTCATTAACTTCCCAGCTGGAGCACGCATCGTGTTTTGTACATTTGAGCTTGCAATTAGCACCTTTCTTTGCCAACCTCAGCTGAACACAACAGGCAGCCTGCTGAACCCGTCGGGGCCTTTCCCTGCAGACAAACCCCGTTATCCCCCCAACCCCGGTCCCACGCCGAGCCCCGGCCGCGCACCCCCCCACACACACCGGCTCTCCCCGACCAGCGGGACCCTCACCGCCCACCGCCCGGCTCCGAGCTTCAGCCGCCCCCACCGCAGGGCGAAAACAAGCCTTTTCCTACTTCCCCTCCTTCAGCTGCTTTATCAAACCGCTTGCCAGGAGCCCCGCGTCTGCTCGGCGCCGATTTGCAGCGATTTACCACAGCGAAGCAACCCCGACCCCCTTCCCGCCCGCTGTCCGTGAGGAAGTCCGCGGGATTTGATGCCACAAACCGCCCACCAGTCCCCACACGCACCCCCGGCCCCTCTCCCACAGGGGAGGCCGCCCCGCTCCCCGGGACACCCCCCTTTACCTCAACTCTCCTCAGACGCCCACGCTTAGAGCTCCGCGGAGCGGGGGAACGGCCGAGCCGGGCCGGCGGGTCCCCGCCTCCCCCCCCGCCGCCACGAGGGGAGAAGCGGTCCCGCACAGAACCGGCCCGGCCCCAGCGGCTCAACGGTTCAAACCGACCCCACCCCCGTCTCCCGGCGGCCCTCGCCGGCTGCCGGTCCCCGCGCGTTTCCGTTTCCGTGGGCCGCCCGCCGGTTGCCGGGCGAGAGGCAGGCCCGGGCTGCGGGGGCGGCTTCAGGGCGGGAAATCCTGAGGTGGCCGGTGGCTGTGGCGCAGCTCGTGAGGAGAGCGCTGAGGGGGGGCGTGAGGCGGAGGGGGGGCGGTTGGGTTTGGGGAGTTTGTCTTGCTCTGAAGGCGCTACGGAAAAAACTGTTGGGCTTGAGAGAGAGTAAAACGTACGTAGGTAAATCTTTATTTGTACACTCCGTCATGCATGGCCGTTAAAAACCTCAAGAGGGCCCTGCAGAGCCTGAGGGAGCAGCAAGGGAGAAATGGGAGATGTCAAAAATGTGATGAGGGTCGGTTCGGGGTCCTCCGGACCCGGTGCTTCAGCACCGCGGGAGAGCCTGGACGAGACAAGTGAGGGTGGAAAAGCAGGAGGAGAGAACCCTGGGTTATTTGGGATGTGTTTCTTTGGTTTAATTGCTGCTAGGTGGATCTGGGTTATATCTATTTTTATATCTTCATTATGATCAATATTTGGGGAAGAAAAATGCTTCCACTCAAGGCTTAGTGAAAAGTATTTGCCGCTCTGAATTTAAAGGTCAATAAACTTGAAGTAGCTTTTGAGTCTGACCAATGTTTTTGTGGCTCTATAGTGGGTGTCAGAAACACGAGCGGATCAAATGAGACCGAAATTGCAGGTGCAGGGTGAATAATTGCAGAGCCAATTTTATCCACAGTTTCTGAGCATTTCTAAGTAAAATTTGTTCAAGTATATCCTTGTAGACAATAGAGTGATTCTGAGTTCACTTTAAAACATTTAATATGCTCAATATTGCTCATGTTTCATGAGTTGTTTATGTCCTATCCCAAGGTAAGAGAATATGAGGGGGTGTTGTGGAACAGAAAAATTTAAAAGTGCATGCCTGACATTTCTACACAAAAGACATAGGTTACACTGGTTGCTTTGTAGCCATGTCAAAAAAACCACTGGTTAATCCAAAACAACTAGAGAAATCTCCTAGTCTTTTCAGCTCTTCAGTCTCTTCCGGAGTCAGTGAAATGATTGTGTGTGTGTATGATCCCAAATCAAGTGTCCGACCTCTTTGATTCATTTCTCTTTCCCCAAAATCTGTTACTGGCTTTACTGTGTGTATAGCATCTAAACTGCTTTTATCACGAACAAGTAAACTGTTCAGCTCTTACAAGCTTGATTCAGTGCACATATACATCAAACAAAAATTTCTTAAATGTACAGTAGAAAATTGGCTGTTTTCTTTGATTTCTCAGCTAATCTTCAGCAGAAATGATTCTGCGTTAGGGCTCATTCGGTGATACCTATGACAGCTACACTGGTTGCCTGCTGAGGTTGCACATAGCTCCTTAAATCAACATGTGCATAGAAGTTGTGCAAAAATCAGTGGCGGCGTATTTAATCCATGGTAGAATCTCATGAGTAGATTACAGAGATTATTTATTATCTTTAAATTCCAAAATTTAAATAATTGTCATTTAATATATGTTTGAAGATATGACTGCTTTTAATCTGTTTTAAAATAGAGTCTTGCAACACAATAAGACTTCTGGGTGGCTGACTTGCTCAAATAGCTGAACTTGCCAAACTTTTCACCTCTGAATCACCACTTCAGGTACCCAGATTTGTCATGGGAATTTTGTAATCATTATGAAATCAACTTGTCCAAGTCAGTCCAAATCACAAGAGACAGACAACAGTTTTGTGGGTTGGTAGAATATGGAAAGCTGAATGGACTTAACAACATGACTCTTTCCAGGTAGGTTTTTCAAGGGCAGCACATCACCATATTGGCCAGGTGATAAGGTGAGAGGTTTGCATTTCTGTCCAGCTTTGCAAATCTGCTTTTTGACAGTTGAAAAGGGTTGGAATTTCTAAGCCAACTTTTTTGTATGTTGTTTTTCATTGATTTGTATCTGCACGTTGCTTTCAGATTTGAATATATCTCTGTCGTGCTCATTGCAAAATAATTTGAAAAACTGAATTTGCTGGTATATGGTGAAAAAGAACATGAGGCAGAGCAGAACCAATGAAATTGGAACCAGTACTCCAGGAGAAATTTCCTGAGGGAATAGATGCAGCTTCTGGGTCTGCTTACCCCTGCAGAGCAGGGTGGCCAGAGAGGTTGAAGCCTACCTGCATTGATTTGACAATTGCATAACTTCTGTCCAAAAAAGAAAGAAAAAACTACAGATGCAAGAAATGACTGAGATCTTGTCTCCAGCCAAAGCTGCAACCTGGACATGATGAGTACTGAAGTGCACTGACCCTCCTGAGGAAATCACTAGAGATACACCATTATAGAACACACAGATATCCCAAACAGAATACATAACAAATTCCCAGTTTGAATTGTAAAAGTATGTTCATTTAAGTAAAATACATTCAGTACTTTTTTTTCATCTCATTTTACCATGTTCTCTTATCTCTGGAACTGTCTCAGTAGGTTGCCACAAGTAACATGAGCACAGCTTAAGGCATTGTTTCAAACATCTTTGCGGGGGGGGAAAGGCAGGTTTCACTCACTCCTCACTCATACCAGCCTTTGGAACACCTCTACTTGCAATACATTATTTTTCAGACTTTCTAAGCAAACCTTTCATGTCTGAAAAGTTGTGATTCACAAATACCTCACTACTTCAAAGACTTACCAGGTCACAGACTTTTTCTCCCTCTTCTTGCTTCGGGAGACTAGATAATAAATTCAGCATATGAACATTGGCTCCTAAGGGTGATTCTTTCAAGTATTCAAATACTGCATAACCAGCTAGGAAGCAGGGCTAGCTGACATGATCAGTTATCCTGCTGCACGGGTAAGTAGAACTGAGAAAATTTGCTTAGAAAAATCTAAATGTTCCCAAGGCAGCTGTTTTTGTGCAAAATACAAATCATTTCAGGGAAAAGTAGAACTTCTGTGGCAGTGAATGCTAACTTTACTTACACCAACTATACAGGGTTTTGCTGTGAAAGACAAGTTAATATTAAACTGTTTGGTATCTCAGCTAGTGTCCTGAATGTCCTGATCCCAGAAATGTATCCACGCAACATTTAGACTAGATTTCCAAACAGATAGGTTCCTGCCAGCTGATCTATGTATGTGTTAAAAGTAGTTACAGATATCTTGGCCTGTAAGTCAAACATCATTCAAGGATCCCGCTTAAACATGTCAGGAACCAAAACACAGTGCACATTGTACCAATGAAATACCCTCTTCGTTTGCTAGTGTGAACTTGTCTGTCTCTACATTAGAGAATTAAATTGCTGATGAGTACGAAGTATTAAATAATAATAGCTGCCTCCATCTCTCCTTAAAAATAGGAAGTATAGAAACAAATTATATCAGTCATACTATTAAAATATTCATGTGCAGCCTTCAAAAAAAAAATGAGAGTATGTTCAGAGTTTTTTAATGGTAGCTGTAGCATCTTACAAGTAGTTTGATCTTAATGTTAAATGGTCCTTTTAAAAAATTCTACAGTAGCTTGCTTACTGTGTAGCCTACTTCCACTTCTAATCACAGAGAAGGCTTTTGTACTTCAGAGGGAACCACATATGACTCATGACAATTTATTGTAAGTGTACAACAAATATTTCTCTGTCACTTTGTAGTATGTTGAAATTAGAATTATTTTTTCCTGAATGGAAATACAGACATAGGCACAAAAATTGCCAGACTGGATCATACCAGTAAACTACCTGTAT